TACTCCGCTTTTAGCAATATTCCAGCAACATCACGGCGGGGGACACCAGAAGTGGTCTTCACACATTGTACCCATTTGGGGAATAGAACACTTTAACCACTAGGCTACCCCGCCGTTCCTTTCCACATCAGAAATCTCTGACAAAGGCAGAGTCGGTTCTACTATTTTATGAGCATGTGTTTGTTTAACGCCTCTTCAATATTGCAAACGAATGATGGCGGTCTGTTAATAAGCGAGTCTGGACCAGACAATGACGTTATTGACATCCTGCGATACGGTGACAGAGCATGTGTTTATGAATCGCTATCAAGTAGTGATGATACCTGCTGTTGGCGAAAAGGTTCGCCCTTTCATGACCCCGGCATAAACGTTAGCAAAGTCAATTGTTCAACTGGAAAAAAATGGAACGTTTGGTACAAGTCAAGATTTGGAATTGCATCGGACATAATTTTTGTCACAAATGCGTCAAGTCGTGAAAGTGTCGGTCGAGAACACAACGGAATCTACACAGTAACAAATATAGCCAAGACATATTACGATTGTTGTCGCTATGTAGACATGTGGTGTAATATTCCAGGCTGTTATTTGTGCTTATGTTGTATCACGTGGTCAGTACTGTATCAGAGTATCGTATACTGGTTATTCACAAGGTTCATGCAGCTAACGCATACATTCAGGTATGAGAAGATGATTGGGTATACCACCTGTCCCTTTAAAGTGACAACGACATATCAAGTATGTCTAGAGGAAATTGAAGCGTATAATCGGGACATATATGTCCCTACGGCATGAAAGTATAATGTGCCTATCAAGTCTAGGTGCGTTCCGGACAAAGTACAGAGCTACAGATAACTTTTTGGGGTCATTGAGTTGTGTACTCGCTAAGTTTCCTTTGAGTAACCAAATAAATTGTACCCTCCTCACCTAACCTCATTTGGGTATTTTGCTATTTTCCATAAATTGTAAAAATATGATCAAGTTTAAATGTTCGTTTAAGTGCTTGTTACCTATATTTTATATGTAACATGAGAAACGATAAGAAAGACTGCAAGTTGCCAAATTCATGTCCTGAAATAGAGCCTCTCAGTATACCTTTGTTACTTTATCTGCCTATACGCAAGCTAATATTGGACACGTGTGTGTACGTATGCAAGATCAAATGTATTGAGTATTTACAACAAATCAAGCCTACCTGTATTCAATAGACTTAATACGAATTGAGTTTTCACATAAATATTTGTGTAATTTACGCAGATAAGCAGCTTATCTGTACCTCTGCCAGTACCTCTGTGAATAATAAACTAACAGTGAGCTGTTCAAGAAACCAGCAGGAGTGAGAGTAAATAACAACATAACGTCCACGTCGTTGCTAGCCCTACCGGTTACAGAGATGCCTTTGCCAATATTCCAAATAGATGACGATATTTCTAAAAACATCTTACACCTATATCATATTTGATGTAATGGGTTGTTATTATGACAATAGCTTCAGTTTTAGTCTATGTTATCCTCGTTCTAAATGGATGACTATGATATATATCAAACTTTATATTTTTCGATATGTTCAGTTGATAATATGAGGGAAGGTACATCTTGCCTGTATCCCTGCCGTCAGTTATTGCGTTCTACATGTACCTACATGAACAGCATCTCTCAGCTGAACATGATACCCTTCTGATTCAAAGTCAACCTTACATTATACATAAACAACTTTGTATCTGTCTCCAGTATCTCCTGTCATTTTGAACAGTTAAACAGGGTTTTACATGACGCGTGATTCCTGCGTATTTGACGCAACAATTTTTAACGACTCTCAAAATACTATCATACGAGTCAAGCTTGACGCAAGTTTTATAGGTGGCCCTCACAATTCAGTTCAATAAAAACGATTTGATAAGCAAAAAATGATATTGCTCGATGATAGTTTGACTTTTACAGAGCTGTCAGATTATTCCAGAGAACTCAGAGGAGACAGTAATCCTGGCTGTTTGAATTAAACAATGCTGTAGTTTCATTTGGTGGTGTGACATACACAGTTACATACTGAGAATGATTAACACAAAGAAATATTCAATTTTCATGACTCCCAAATATTGAAAATGACTCCCAAAAATAAATATTCTGAGTCACCATGACTCCCATTTTAAACGTCTGTGTAACACCATGCAGTTAATTGTTGTGCACTCAGCAATATTCCAGCTATATGGAGGCAATCTGAAAATAATCGAGTCTGGGCCAGACAATCCAGTGATAACAACTTGGGCATCGATCAATAATCGGGATACCATGTCAATCGTCAGCCATGTCAGCGAGCCTGACCCTCCGATCTCGATCTTGTTAGTGGCCTTTTTACGACAAGCATGGATTACTGAAGATCAATTCTAACCCGGATGTGGGCTCAGGCTCCCTGACTTGGTTGACACATGTCATCGTATCCCAATTGCATAGATCGATGCTCATGCTGTTGATCACTGGATTGTCTGGTCCAGACTCGATCATTTACATACCGCCGCCATATAGCTGGAATATTGCTGAGTGCGGCGTTAAACAACCACCAAGTTCGTGGGATGTCATTGACGTGTCTGAAGCAAGCTGTTCAATTTTCGGGTAATTTTTCTCCATATATTTTTTATGTTTACGAATTGTTTTGGTGTTCATATCTTAGGTTCGAGTCTTTTGTGTAGTATGATCGCCATCACTAGTCACGCTGTCGCACACTGTTATATATCGGGAAACAAATAAAACTCCGGTATTCTCTTCCGGTACCCTACTACTTACCTGAATATAATACCATGAATAGGTTTTGAACAATGCCCACGCACTTAACCCCCATACCCCAAGCTTTCAGTGAACAAAATACTGCCTGATGTCTAAACGACATACAGTTTTATATCAAATGGACTTTGATGCTTATTATAAATGTATATTACCAATGGCTTTCAAGAAATGACGAGTGAGAGGTTACGCAAAAATGAAGAAAGGGGGCATTATGTCAGTGAAACTCAGGTCACATGCCGAGAGTTTGTTGTTTCACGCGCCGGCGCCGTGATGACTTAGCATTTGATAATTACCGCGCACATGGCGAATGTTTACATGTCACTAGTATGTAGAGATACAAAGAAAAACAGAAGCCCATGGCCAAAACAATTCATTCTACAAAGTGTGAAAATACGTGTACTAAAAGGTACTGACCATTTTATTACAGTAATATATTTAGTTTTACTTATAAAATACAATGAAATCACTATTCAATCCTGTTACCAATTACATGTAATTACAATTCTACATACCAAGAAACCACGTACATGTTGCAGTTCTGCTTTCACTACATCTTCTTACACTTCTCTAACACTCCTACACAATATTTGACAATTTCATACGTAAATAACTAAGAGATAAACCTACCGGGGTATTTTTTAATTAGAGGACAGAGGGAGTGTAACGGAATAATAATAGCTCTAAATCTGATTTAAAACTGAACGCGTCAGTTTGTTTGGTCTCCGCATGTTGGTGGGCAAACGACAATAGTGTGTTACCATGTATAACTGCGACCGGAAAATCTGTACAACGTGATTCTACCTCTGAATGACTTTAATCAACCAGTCAAAATCCAATATTTACTGAAGTCATTTTAGAATGTTAAATAACAGAAGATTGGGAAAGGTAATCAAAATCTGTGTCCTTATATCTGCACATCAACTACTTATATATACTTCATTATTAAATTAACTGTGTGAAAAAATAATACATGTAAAAATATGCGTAAAACCTTCATCACAATTACAACTGTGCGAAGCTGAGTAAGATCAGCGTGCCATTAACAAAAAAACTAACCTCAAGGGAAATTAGCATATACAGTAAAACATGGATATAGCGAACACGGATATAGCGTACAAACGGATATAGCGAACAAATTTAAAAGTCCCGTCAATAGTCCTTTATAATATCATTAAAATTATACGCGAATAACGAACTCGTGAGTAGCGAATTAACGGCTATAGCGAACTGATTTACTACCCCCAAGACCCAATTAACGACGTGATTAGCGAACTCACTCAGTGTCAGCTCAGCCACTTAGCGGTATACATCAAGCGGCAAACATGTCCGGGAGTGAAACACTTAAGTTGTTAGTCACAGGGAAGTCAGCAAAGATCCTGATGTTTGTAGACAATTGTCCTGCCCATCCTGTTGTGAAACACCGGACACACGTCAAACTGGTCTTCCTTCCACCGAACACTAAGTGTTATGTCAATGTACATGTACAAGAATAAAGATTTGTAGCCTCAGCATATACATGTCTCTACATCTCTACAATCCAAGATGGCGGTCAAATGTGAATAACGAACAACGGATACAGCGAACTAAATTTCTTGATCCCTTGGAGTTCGTTATATCCGTGTTCTACTGTATATGTACAATACTGTTAAAGCATAACATCACTGCCGGTGACCGACTTTCACAAAATATGCGTTCTCACGGACATCGGTCATGGTGATTTGGCGAGGAAATGTTCACTCAGGCATCATTTATGCATAGACGTGTGATGCAAGTAATCAGAAACATTTAGACAGCATGTGTATTGCTATTTTTTTTCATGTTTTTTTCATCGTAACTAAGAAAAATGGTCAGAAATGCCGATAAACAGCGTTGTCGTTCAAAGTGGTTTTGTGACATCGATAGCGTCACCACAAGAATGGAAACTTTTACAAATTTATGAAATCGCTGTCATGCATCAAGTTTTAATTCCATATTCTCTGCTACGAAATTGAGCTAAGGTATGCAACTAATAGACGAATGGATCTCTCATAACATGAAAAAATGCTACACAGTGCAAATGCCCAAAATTTGAATTTTTGTTTTGTTCACATTTCAAACATATGCATAGTCTGCTTTGACACCTCATGAAATTGTCCGACATACACACGCGCACGCACGCACGCACGCACGCGACCACACACATATATTAAACCTTCAAGTCGTAGTTAGCCTATGCATCATACCTGATTTTCTCCATTCCAGACGACTGCCGGTCTTCGTGACTGTGAGCAGTTGAAAAATAAACGATTGAAGGCGAAGGTCGTAAAGAAAAGTTAATCAAGTCGCACTGAAAAATAGAGTGATCTCCCTTTAATGGCATTCATAAGGTGAGGGCGAAACAAACTAACTAGTGGCAAAAACGGAACTCCGACGATTTGCTTCACTCGTGAACGCACAGTGTAATATGTTTGGTTTGTTTTTATTTGTTGTTTATTGTTAACGCCGCACTCAGCAATATTCCAGTCGGTGGTGATCTGTAAATAATCGAGTCTGGAGCAGACAGTCATTAACAACGCGAGAAACCATGTAAGCATTTGGTGTTATTTTTAGAGGATCAGGTGTGATAAAAAATGTGTCATATGAAGGAAATGAGAAAATTATTATCAAACTGTTTATGAAGAGTTGTTTGGGGGTGGGTGGTGGTTTGCAGCTGATTGGGTCGTTGTCGACACGAGTACAATTTCGTATACAGAATCAAAATACATAAACGTACCCGGTACCCTAAACGGTCTATACGTTTATATTCCTCTACCCAAAACCGAAACTTGTTCATGTTATTGTTCCTGTTCGCCTGATTACGAGTTACACTGTGCATCAGGAAATATTCGTCATTGTGTTTGCTCGTTTCTTCTATAGCAATCGGGTGCATAACAGTTCCCATCAAGAAAACGGAGCGGAATTGACTTGGTTAAGACTCTGTCTTCTGATTTTGGATAGGGTGAGTTTCTGTATAAACGTACCTAGGGTACATATCTGTATAAACGTACCTAGGGTACATATATGTATACCTAAACGTGAATGGGGTACATATCTGTAGTACGTACCGTGTCGACAATGACAACTTCTGCATTATTACCGCTTTCAAAACGACCCAATCGGAGTTATTTCTGCGTTATAAGGTTAAAAATCCATCTTCTAAATTCAAGTATAACAAACCCATTATTGAGAATGTTGGTTATTTTGTGATTGAATGGATGCTATCACTGTTTGGTAATAAATCAGGGGATATAGAACATAATAACTGGGAGTAACAGAATCTAAAAGACTCTTAAAGTATTAGTTAAGGGTGAATCACCGATTGGGTAGTTAACAGTAATTCTCCGATCACGAGGTACGACATGAGACCATGGAATGATGTAACTTTAAACGAATCAGAAATATTGTATCTGGACATGTGACCAGGGCGGAGCAGGCTCGATAAAGACATCACCAAAGTGGTGCAGGTTTCAAAGCCAACAGAACGTTCGCCCTATCCTGTCCAGTCCGTCATATTGTAATGAAGCGAGGGATTGAGTAAACCTACTCCTAGTATAGAACCAGGTGTTAATTTAATCATTGTATGAACGTGCGCCAGTACATGAATACAATGTTGTAGTTAGGCGTCCGACCCCTCACTGCTTGACTTTGCATTCCCCAACGGACCAAGCGAGTACAGAGCTTGAGGTAACACTTCCCCTGACAATGTGGAACGGTCATATTAATAGGTAACTGTACGTTGTAGGGTCTACTGATCGGCAGCTACGACACCAGTAGACAACGTTCCCCTCCAGTATTGATATATCTTTGTCTGTAAAGTGTTCCGGTATATTATGTTTTGGCAATACCAACATGTTACCCGTCACTGTAAAGCCAACATGTTACCCGTCACTGTAAAGCCAACATGTCACCCGTCACAGTAAAGCCAACATGTTACCCGTCACTGTAAAGCCAACATGTTACCCGTCACTGTAAAGCCAACATGTTACCCGTCACTGTAAAGCCAACATGTTTCCCGTCACAGTAAAGCCAACATGTTACCCATCACTGTAAAGCCAACATGTTACCCGTCACTGTAAAGCCAACATGTTACCCGTCACTGTAAAGCCAACATGTTACCCGTCACTGTAAAGCCAACATGTTACCCGTCACTGTAAAGCCAACATGTTACCCGTCACTGTAAAGCAAACATGTTACCCGTCACTGTAAAGCCAACATGTTACCGTCACATTAAAGCCAACATGTTACCCATCACTGTAAAGCCAATATGTTACCCATCACTGTAAAGCCAACATATGTCCCGTCACTGTAAAGCCAACATGTTTCCCGTCACTGAAAAGCCAACATGTTACCCATCACTGTAAAGCCAACATGTTACCCATCACTGTAAAGCCAACATGTTACCCATCACTGTAAAGCCAACATGTTTCCCATCACTGTAAAGCCAACATGTTACCCATCACTGTAAAGCCAACATGTTACCCATCACTGTAAAGCCAACATATTTCCCGTCACTGTAAAGCCAACATGTTACCCATCACTGTAAAGCCAACATGTTACCCATCACTACAAAGCCAACATGTTACCCGTCACTGTAAAGCCAACATGTTACCCATCACTGTAAAGCCAACATGTTTCCCATCACTGTAAAGCCAACATGTTTCCCATCACTGTAAAGCCAACATGTTACCCATCACTGTAAAGCCAACATGTTACCCATCACTGTAAAGCCAACATGTTACCCATCACTGTAAAGCCAACATGTTACCCATCACTGTAAAGCCAACATATCACCCGTCACTGTAAAGCCAACATGTTACCCGTCACTGTAAAGCCAACATGTTACCCGTCACTGTAAAGCCAACATGTTACCCGTCACTGTAAAGCCAACATGTTACCCATCACTGTAAAGCCACAGGGGGCGGTGGGGTAGCCTAATGGTAAAAGCGTTGGCTCGTCACGCCGAAGACCCGGGTTCGATTCCCCACATTGGTACATTGTGTGAAGCCCATTTCTGGTGTCCCCCGCCGTGATGTTGCTGGAATATTGCTAAAAGCGGCGTAAAACCAAACTCAGTCATTCAGTCAGTCAGTAAAGCCACAGCTTTTTTATATGTCGTATTTGAAAATAGATATTGTAATGTTTTCATTCTACCATTCTGGTGGAATATACGCATCTTACCTGGAGCCCGAATCTGGGCAAAACTTAAAAAATTATTTACGACTTAATATGCTATTGGAAATTGGAAATATTACAGACAAACCGACCGCGTTCCACTATCTTTGGCCCGCCAAGGGGCGGTGATAACGGACGTAGAACATCCGGGACCTGTATCTATGCTGTTCAGATTGTGTATATCGTCACACTTGAGCTGATCAGCTAATCTAATTCATCGTGAACTTCACCCATCAACACTGTTGTCATCAGTACCCTTATCAAATTTGTTACATTATTCTGTCAAGAAAAGGTTACTTAACCCACAATAACAACCTTATCTCCCATTGAGTTAGGCAGTGAGGACAAGATAGAGCAGCTGAAGTTGACAATATCAACCTTTTCGTCCGTTTAATCAGTAAATGCGATTATCTGTGACAGCTAGAATATTTATAAAATACGGACGACAGTCAGTCGCAATGATTCGGTGGCTGTTCTAATTAACTAAGGTATATTTGCTCTGGTTTTGTGTTCTGTTGATTGGATGTGCATAGAGCTCAGGTCACAAATCAGCAAGTTGAGCAACTTTGGGCGCGGAGAGTTCTTGATGGGTCCCCGTGTTTGGCAGCTTGACCCCTGAGAGTTTCTAGTCCTGGGTCACAACGAAGCACCTGTGATACATGTGGTCTCACCTTTGGCAAGTGAGTTTGTTCAAAATTGCCCCTGTTTACCCAGCAGAAAATGGGTACCCGGTGGGATAAGACATGTGACTAATAACCTAGCGCCTCACTGGCAGGTTAGGTTACCCGGAGTAATAATAGTCAGGGCCCGGTTGTTCAAAACTCGGTTAAGTACATTTAACTGACTGTTACCTAATTACAGAGGGTTATCTTGTTGTTCAAAACTCTGTTAACTTTTAACAGGCTGTTAACGAGAGGTTAAGTTAACACACCTAAGGACCTCCGCTAACTTTTTAACAGTGTGGTTAACTCGCAAATGGCGTTCATGGCTAACACTGCTTTGTAGCAACCCACTATGTAAAAACAACGCACTATTACACTATTACACTATTACATAGTGCGTTGTTATTACATAGTGGGTTGCTACTGGTGTAACGTTAACGCAGTTTGTAATAACCCGTTATGTAATAAAATCGCCTAAGTCCGAAATGTTTTTGGATTATTGTAAATCGTGCTACAGTGACAAAGCGCCACCGAGTACCACGGCTATGATGGTCTGACACTCGCGGAATATCGAGTAATACCGCGGAATGCGTAACACGAGTTACAACAGACCTTCTTGGTTCAGTTACATAGTCAGCACACCCGGATGTAGGTCGACCCTCGCGGAAGCCGCCGAGGGTTTCCGGAGATAGCCGATGTAACGACATCGACATTCACTACACTCTCCCTAGTTTTATAAAGACCCTCAATATATCTATTTTAATACACTCTCTCAAAAAAGAAACGCAACCCCTGTTTTTTATGGTAATGTTTATATCAATTTTAACTGGTTATTACATTTGTATTTTTAAAGATAATGCCATGAAATTTGACATGGTGAACCTTAGGTCAGCACGGTATAAGGTAACAGTTAATGCAGGTCAGTATCGAACTCTCAATTTACGCTAGGGGGCGTTGTCTTCAGTATCTCGTTGTAGAGCCACGAGCTCTAATCACAGCAGTGCACCTCCTCGGAACAGAACGAATCAGACGGCAGATGTTTTCCTGAGGGATTGCATCTACCAGAGTACTCACTCTTCCTGAGAGTGCTGCGGCCAGTTCAACCAACGTGCGTTGGTTGTGGTGTACGTGCACGAACACGACGATCCAGCTGGTCCCACAGATGTTCGATAGGATTGATGTCTGGCGATCTGAGGGCCACGGCATCACGTTGACGTTTGAATTCTGTAGGAATGCCACTATTGCACGAGCTGTATGAGGGCGGGCATTGTCATGTTGAAACAACTCCTCTGTTGGTCGATTATCGGCAGAAGATATGGCTGTAAGACGTCATCAATGTACCGTTGTGCCGTCAAATTGCCACGAATGATGACCAAATCTGACCGTTGGTTGTAAGACATGGCTCCCCATACCATGATGCTTCCTCCTTCAAATCTGTCGACCTGTCGAACGCAGTTCGGTGCAAAACGTTCATTTGCTCGTCTATAGACACGTTGTCTACCGTCACGTCGTTGAAGAAGTCCAAAACGAGACTCGTCACTAAGTTGCAGACTCTTCTCCAGTTTCTTAGGGTCCATCTCCTTACGTTAGTACACCAACTGAGACGTTTGCGTCGATGTTGGCGTTTCAAGAACAGGCCCAACAACTGGTCTTCTTGTAACGTAAATTTGCCTCATGTAAACGGTTCCTGATGGTTTGGGCCGATACTCTACCGATGATCGATTTCTCAAACCTGGCACCTGTGTTGCGAGGACCCTTCCAGTGATGGTGGGTGTGGCATGCCGATTACGTAGGTGGCTGAGTCGAATAAAGCGATCCTGAGCCGGTGTGGTGATCCTAGGTCTACGCTCCTGGGACGATCTTCAATTGCATGGAACATTGCATTGTATGTAACGATTTCCAAAGTCGTGAGATTGTTGTTTTGTGTACGTTTAGATGACGGGCATGTTGTTCCCAAAGCTTTCCCCAGCCTCAATGCGACCAATGGCAATATTTCGATTTGCTGTACTCAAACGGGGCATTTTCGAACTTGATTTATAAATGAGCAAATTATGAGAGAAAATTACAAACAACCGATTACGCGTGCTTTTAAAACCCTCTACATGAACTGTGTTTTCAACGATTTTGCACGTGCAACAGGCTTTTAGCATTTTGTACATGACAGGGTAACTCGCTACTCCCGGATAGATACACCTCTCTCTCCTCTCCTACTTCAGAAAGACGCGCCTTCCGTTGGCAGTGCAGACCTCGATGAGTTCCCTTGGCGACATGTGGAAGTGCCCTGCCAACTTTTGTGCGACGTCCCCAATGTAGTGCGGTAAATTGCATCGCACATTGTTGGTAACACCAAGGTATGGCGAGTCCGTCTCCAGGAGGAGATTGTCCTTTGGGATGGCTAGGAGAGCCTCTTGCTGGCTTGCCTTCACTCGTCGACAAAAGCCGTTGACACTGAAGAATGTGTTGGGGAAGGCCTCCAACCAGGACCTCACTGTCTTCAGGTTCCCATGAAAGCAGTGGAGCACGGTGGTCTGCTCTGGGGAACGAAACTGACCAACAAGTTCCCGCAGCTTGGAGTATAGATCTTCTGCCAGATCGTCTCCTTGTGCCCCACGCACGTGGAATATTAGGGGCAAGCCCTCCCTCGTACTTCCCAGAATTGTCTCCAGGAGCTGATGTTGTTTTGCCAGATGTTGGCGCCCATCCATGAGGTCGTAGCCAATCTCTCCGATGGCTGACACTCCTGGTTCAGCGCACTGCCTGATAAATTGGGATACGAATCCGGGCGATGCCTCTGCGATCTTGCGAGGGTGTATCCCCAGGGATACCTTCCAGGAAGGCCGTGTTGGTAATGACGCCGGCCACACCTCTGGGTCACAGAAGCAGGTGACGCCACCCACCAGCTTGACTGGGTAACTCGGAGCCTGCACTGGTGTCCAATCCACGAGGGTGTCTAGTGGAGACTCCACAGTCGTATCCCCGAACAGCCTCCTGCAGGTCCTATCCGCGTGGAAATGGCTGTCAAATGCTTCTGGGAGGTCCTCATCCGCAGGTGGAATGGGTGATGGTAGGTGAACCACAAACATTGTTTCAGTCGTTTCCATGGCGTCTGACGGGAGCCTCTCCGCGTCTATCTGCTGACCTGGGTCTTCCCCAGGTGGGAGCCGCTCCACACCGTCTGCCGAAGGTACATAGTCTGCCACAGCCAGACGCTCTCGGAACAGGTCAGCAACCAAGTCGCGCCGGGCTGGGGAAAGGTAGTTGATTACAAGGGCCAACCACCTTGGGTGTAGGAGGGCCGCTGGCCCGGCACCACAAGGAATGTCACTGTTGTTGATTTGACTCCATCCGGCTGCCGAACAAAGGGCTCCAAGGCAACCTGAATACCTTTGAAATTCGGCCCTCGGAATTTCATGACTTGCCTTTAAGACTGTCATTAACTCCTCCGGTGTCCCGTATCGCTGCCCAAGCAGCCACAGTGCCAAAGTTTTGAGGATGAACAGGCATGGCTGGATGACGTCCTGTGATCCATCCCGGCCCAAAACTGTCCAATACAGGGCGGTACATGGACAGCAAGTAGATGGCTGTCCTGGTCCGTGATGGGGGCACGGCAATTGTGAATGATGCATTCAGATGTTGCAGCTGCAGACGCTGAAGTGCTCTTTGTATCACAAATATGGTCCACCGATGGGAAGGGGAGGCCACCTCGCCCCTCATCTGATGAAGTCAGCGATGTGATGGTTGCATCCACCGTTGTTGCCAGGTCACCCCGCCCCTTGTCTGTTGATGCCCCTGAAGTGCTAGGGATATCCCTCGATGTCAGGGGGAGGCCACCTCGCCCCTGAATCCCTTCCAGCCCCCATTCAAGACGTGGTGTCTTCGCTGATGTTTCCCTAGAAGTTCCCTCCCTCCGGCGTTTCGGCTGCTGTTGGGCTCCCTTGTCAGAGGACCGGTAGAACACACGGCTGTGAATTCGATGTCTGCGCCGACCTCTGTGCTGGAAATCCTGGGGGTCGTCTGGATGAGGGCGCCTTTGTTCTCTTTGGTGAGGCCTGGGACGGTCCACTCTGCGGGGGGAGAGGGCTCCGGTGATCTGAGCTGGAGCTCCGACGATTTTAGCTGGAACACAGGCGGCCGCCAGGACGGCTTTGATGATCATGCTGATCACTCTGATGGTGTTGATGGAGATCCTGGGGGCTCCGGCAATCATGACTGGGGCTCCGACGATCGTGACGAGGGTTCAGGCGATCATGATTGGAATGTCTTCGTGAGCTCAGATTCCCTGAGTCCCACAGGTATCTTGGAGGGTGTCTCTCGGGCGGAGATAGCCTTGGCCAGTCCTTGTCGCTCAGTGGTTGACGAGACGACATCCTTTAGTGCTGTTTTACCTGGAACCACAATAAACATAAGTATAGGTCACATGCCACAGCTGGCGCCACGCCGAGCCGCAACCCGCCAGACGTTTGAATTACTGACAATCTGGGGAATTGAGTTTACAAGCATCACAGAAATATTCATCAATACGCGAGCGTCACTCTCGCTTATGCCGACACACGAGCCGTGGTACCAGGTGTCGCATCCGTCGCATCCAATCATGAACCTGCCATCATACGGTTAGTGGCAGATACAGTAGATCTGATCATCACCATCATCGGTTTCAGGATCTACTAGCGGAACATCTCGGTTGGGCAGATGTATCCCTAGCTCCCTATCGCAGAAACGGAAAACCCACCGTGGGGTTTCATCGCCCTGAAATAGTTTCAGTCGATCGTGGTTAGCTACTACCGTTGTTGTTTTCGTCTTGATTCGGTAGAGAGAGGAAGAGAGCTTCTCAATTACCACATGGGGACCCTTCCAAGGAGCACTGAGCTTTCGGTTCTTCCCCTTGACGACTGCTGTGTCCAAGGTGAGAACTAGGTCCCCAACCTTGTACTCCTTTGTTAGGATCTTCAAATCGTAGTCCCTCTTCATCCGAGCTTGGGAAGTCCTGAGATTTTCTCGGGCCAGTTCGTGTGAGGCCAGAAGTGATTCTTGCAGATCCCGGGCATACTCGTGTGGATTGGTTCCCTGAAGAGGCTGCGGCCTGTACATCAAGTCTGCTGGGTGGTTAACTTCCCGTCCCAACATCATTCTGTTGGGTGTGAATCCGGTGTTTCTGTTGACACACGCTCTCATTGAACTGGCCAGCTGGGGTAGGTGTTCATCCCATCTGTCTTGAGAATCCCGAACGTAACACCTCACACAATCCATCAGAGTATGGTTAAAACGTTCCACTTGACCGTTTGAGGAAGGTCGGTAAGGGGTTGTCCTATTTTTATGAATGCTTAGGACCTTACAAACTGAAGCGAACAAGTGACTTTCAAAATTCCTTCCTTGATCACTGAACAATTGATATGGGTACCCAAAGCGGGTGAAGAATTGATCAATCATTGCTCGAGCGGTAACTTCGGCAGTTTGTGATGGGAGGGGGATGCATTCAACCCACTTTGTAAATTGGTCCACAATCATTAATATGTGCTCATTACCGTGCTTGGATTTTGGTAGCGGCCCAAGGAAATCAATGTGTACTCGTTCAAGTGGGGCGCCCGCATGGTAGTTTGTGAGCGGATGACGGGGCTTCCTAGTGCCCTTTTTATACTTACAGCAAACTCCACACGTGTTGACATAAGCTGCTACATCCTTTGACATACCATGCCAGTAGTACTTCTGCTTGACTTTAGCCTTGGTACGCGAAATACCAGTGTGACCAGATGATGGGATGGCATGATACAAGTGGAGTAGTTCTTTTCTGAGGCTCCTTGGAACAACTACCAATGATTCACCTCCAGTGTCGTTCGACAGACGATAGAGTATGTTATCCTGCAGGAAAAACCTTTCTTTATTCAAGAAATAGTTCTTGCTCGTTGGGCTACTCAAGAATAGTACGTCGTTTGGAGGCTCCTCGTTTGTCTTCAGATACTGCAGAATGATAGCTAGGTCCGTATCTTCCTCCTGGGCTTGTTGAATGTCGACCTTCGCTGAAACAGAGTCAGCTTTTCGAATTAGAACACCTTTGTCAGGTGTCAGGTCACCATCTGCGGGTGTCGACCTCTCTATCACTGTTGGTGATACTCCAGGTGGGCATATGATTTCTAATCCGGACACTTGACAGTTTTTCATATCTCGGCCAGGGTCCCATGGCTCGTACACATTTTCGTGTGAACACACTTCGTCTACCAAATGGTCTGTTACCACATCAAACACGGGAGACACTCCAGATGAATCTTCTCTCTCCAATGTTTCTTGTGGCACCTCCATAGAAAATAGCCAGGAAAGAGCAGGCGCCACGCCGTACTTATCATTCCTTGTGCTGTGAATTACCTCATTTTCCTGAACAACTCGGGCCACCTTGCCATCTCCAGCCGGACGCCTCCCTATTGGGACGACATCGTCGACTTCCTCGAAGAAGGAGTACCAGTTGTTGTGGGCTCTGGTGCAATATGGACAGCCCCCACAGGGTAGATCTGGTAACTTGACTTCACTATGAAATCCAGGACAGGGACCCTCATATGGAATTCGTGAGAGTGCATCTGCATTTTGGTGCTTGGAACCCTGCCTATGTTTGATGACCATATTGTATTGGCTCAATTCCTCCATCCACCTGGCTAGCTGGCCGTTCGGCTCTTTAAAGTTCATCAGCCATAGAAGACTGCTGTGGTCAGTGCGGACCGTGAATTCACAGCCTATTAGATAGTGCCGGAATTGCCTGGTAAACCTCACCACTGCAAGGAGCTCCTTCCTTGTGGTGCAGTATTTGCGCTGCTCTGGGGAAAACCCAAAGCTGCCGTAGGCTACTGGCCTTTCTACACCATCTTGCACCTGTAGCAGTTCAGCTCCTATCGCTCTGTCTGATGCGTCAGTGTCAAGGGTCAAGGGTGAATGGGTCCTCTGTGTTTGGTAATGCCAAGATGGGGGTTGACGTTAACACCTGCTTAAGCTGGTTGAAAGCCTCCTGCTGCTCTGGGCCCCATAAAAACCTTTTCTTGCCCGTAAGCTGGTAAAGTGGCACTGCTATTTTGGCATAGCCCTTAATGAACAGGCGATGGTAGTTCACTAAGCCCAGGAACCGCTCAACATCTTTTGTGCAGACAGGAACAGGCCAATTCGCCACTGCTTTAGTGTCCATGTCACCACATTCTAGACCATCTTGACTCACTTTCCTCCCGAGGAATTCAACTTCACTCTGGAATAAAACACACTTTCGTGGCTTCAATTTCAAATCGTACTTTCGGAAACGTAAAAACACTGTTCGCAAGTTATGTATGTGATCCGAATAGTTTTTCCCCAACACAAGACAGTCATCTAGGAAAGCTAGCACTATTTTCCAGTTTAGTCCACGTAGCACTAAGTTGATGACTCTGGCAAACGTTGCTGGAGCATTGCACAAGCCGAAGCCCATCCTGGTAAATTCATAGAGACCATACTTTGTAATGAAAGCGGTCTTCCTGCGGTCTTCCTCTTTTACCTTAATTTGCCAGTAAGCACATTTTGCGTCAAGTTTAGAGAACCACACATTTCCAGCAAGGGTGTTCAGACACTCGTCAATCAGAGGTAACGGGAAGGTGTCTTTTGTACAGCATTCATTCAAGCGGCGATAATCCAGGCACCAACGCACTTCGCCTGATTTCTTGCGCACTAGCACTGGCGGGGAAGCCCACTCAGATGATGAAGGACGGATGACATCAGCCGCTAACATCTTTTCCAGATGAGCCTCCTCTTCCTGAGCAAAAGCTGGTGGTGTCCTCCTCATCCGTTGCTTGATTGGTTTATTGTTGCCGGTATCAATAGTGTGCTCAATCTCCTTAAACTCCCCAAGGTCCAGGTCATGCTTTGCAAAAATGTCAGCAAACTCTGTCAGCAGTGCTTTTAGCTCTATCCTCTGGCTGGGATTTAACAGAGTGACTGACTGTTCAAAAAGACCCTTGAGATGCTCAGGTAACTCTGCTGGTGTCTCGTCATTCCCACGAGCCATACGTACCTTGGCGGAGTGGGTATTGTCTTCCTCCTGAACTTCATCTATCTCAGTAGCTGTGCCTAACACATGATGCTTCTTTAGCACCCTGCAAGAATTTGAAGGGTTCAGGAGACACACAACTGGGTTGCTTCCCTTAGCTCGCAGAACACGTGGGACTATAACCTTCAAGTACGGTGATGGCTCAATGATGTAGTCATTTATGACAGAGTCTATCGTACAAGGGATGCGTACCACAGAGTTCGGCGGAATCACTGTTCTTTTTGCTATAGTCACTCTGGCAACTGTGGGTGTCTTTCCGTTTGATCCAAAAACCATGGGAATCATATGGCCTTCAACCCTCAACCAGTCACCATCCATCTCTATTGCACAACGATGAGACCTCATGAAGTCAAGTCCCAGCAGTATGTCATCCTCGATGGGTGCCACATATAATGTCTCACAAAACTTGATA